CAACAAATTATGTAGGTGTTAGTTGTAGAGTCATGTCCTTGTGGTAAAGAAGTATTTTTTGTGGTGCAAATCTGTTAAGATATAATGGAAGTTGATGAGTTAGATCCGCAAGAGCCATTAACTTCTTCTTTTTTTACTTTTTGCCGTGTACAATGCAATAAAAAAAATTGCAAAAGTGTTTCATATATTTGCCCTAGTCTTCTTTTCATCCAAGGAGAAAAACGATGAACTTGCGGTTTACTATTTAGCATGTTTGGTAGTGCTTGAAAGCACGTCACACTTTCTTTAACAAAACTTAGTTTTCTGCAACTAAGTCTTGGATTCGTTTTTAAGAAAAGTAACTTTTAAGCACAAAACACATGCTTTTTTGATGAACTTGTTCTTGCCAAAGCTTAATCCCTCTGGTTCAAGCCAAAAGAGTCACTCCTTTAAACTTTTTTTCGATCTAGTTTTTGAAAACATTTATTTACTTCCATTGCACGCTAATTTCTGTGATTTTACTTTGATGAGACTTCAAATGGTGTGATTAAACCACCATGAAATATCAAGGCTTTTGACTGTTGCTATCTTTCATCCTTTTTCTCTTTGTATTGCGGCGAAAGTAACAATTACGATGTGGTGGCATAAATGTTGTTTTGTGCATCATGAGAAGCGTCTTTAACCGAAATTATTAAGTGGGTTGCGTTACATTACATAATTGCGAACTTTATCACGTCATGATAGTATTCATAACGCTTGAGAAGTTTGTAGTAAAATTCTCATTTTAATTCCCTACTCGGAAATACTTTTTTCTCTTTTAAGATCACTTTAATCTAGAAGCTTGTCATTGAATCTGTTGTACTGTTCTGCTTCCTTGCTTTTAAATCAGTGTGCGTTCCTTTCCTCGCATTGCTCTTAGCAAAATTAAAATTATTTCGTATAAAATGTATGGCCATACATTGAAGGCTTGAAAATGGCTCCTTTTGGAGGAAATAAAATGTTTCATCAAATCTACTGTTAGTTCGATCTCATGTTCCACATAGAACTGTTAAAGAATCTCTCAATTTCATATGCACGTGTGTGATGTTGCACTTTTGAACTGATCTAGATGGTGTTACAATGACTAGTATCTTTATTGCACTCAAGTCCTTAATATTTAAGAATGTCCGGAAATACATTATAATTTGTTTCTCACATTTCAGGAGAAAAAGGTGGTGAGGCTACATGCCATCAATAACTCAAGAGTCTCTGCACGAAAATGCTTCTTTTCTTTGTGTAAATGCATTGTGGATTTGAAGATGAGGTATTGTGTGATTTGAAGGTTTTTTTCCCCCTCAAAATTCATTGATTTTTACAGTATGATATACAACCTTTTACTTTATTATCAGATATTTCAAATTTTCTTTTCGATGGACTGCTCGTACAAGAGCAGTGACAAAAAGACATTAAAGAGGTGGTTTTTCATTGATAAAAGGGTTGGGTAGAACGTCGTTCGTTACTTTTGTTCAGGTCTTTTCTGTAGTAATCCATCACCAAGTGATTTTTAGTCATCGCTCCAATGGACGTGAAATCAACAAAAGCTTCTCTGGTTCTTGCTGATTCTGCACCTATAAACAAGTCCAGACTTGGGATACATTCTAGTCTTTTGCCTTGTTCTCAAGCCGGCCCCACATTTTCAAATAACATTCTGGCAATTTCGAGTAAGAAACCTGGAAAATTTGATGATGTTCGTTCCAATGGTTGGCTTGACGCAATGAGATCATCGTCACCTCCTAGAGAAAATATTCTTAAGAATTTCACAAGTGTGGAGGTTGCTTCCCATGATGGAGATATTGCTTATCGTGCTTGGATGGTATGTTCATTATACTAAGCTCCTGTTTGACATCCATTGATGGAAAACTTTTTCTCCACATGCTCAATTTCAACCACACATTCATACAATAAAATATTCAGCACGTAAATCCAAAACATTTCCCTACTATTTAATCACACATTTTCCTAAAAATCTATATTCAAAACATTATTTTTCTCAAATAATGGTTATCAAACAGGAGTAAGATGCAAGAAAATTTCTCTTTTCAATCTTATTAATATAAATATTCTTGTCTTTGTCTTTTTCTTTGCAGATCAAGTATCCATCAGCCCTTAATTCCTTCCGACAAATAATGGAATGTGCAAAGAATAGGACGATAGTGGTATTTTTAGATTATGATGGAACTCTTTCCCCAATCGTAGATGATCCTGATCGTGCTTTTATGTCTGCTGATGTAAGGAACTCTTGTGCACGAGAATATTTCCTTCATAATTTCTATCTGCTTGTTAACGTAATACAAGAAGTAATTTTCCAGATGCGTTTTGCTGTTAAGAGAGTGGCAAAATATTTCCCAACAGCCATCATCAGTGGAAGAAGCCGTGATAAGGTGGATGCAGAAAGTTTTTCCCCTTAAGCATCTTACTACAGCAATATAAGGTCTTTACTATTTTGATTTTGATTAATTTAATTTTCTTTCTCAGGTCTATGAGTTGGTAAGACTAAAAGAACTCTACTATGCTGGTAGTCATGGCATGGACATCATGTTCCCAGCTGAAGAGATGGCCTCCGGAGACCGTTCAATTTGTACAAAATCTACTGATCACCAGGTATTGCTATGGTAACTTCTGACTTGCTTGTTTGTTTTCAGTGTACATGGTCCAATATCTACTAACTAATTTTCTTGATTTGATTGTTGTCTTAATACATTTGTCCTCAACTAAGATTTTGATGAATTTTAAAATATTATAAACCTTAATGATTTTCGTGGATTTGAATAGATTTCCCAAATTCCAGAAGAATCTCATCAAATACGGTGAAATTCAAAAGATTCGTTTATATGTATTTTCAAGTTTGAAATTCATCCATTTCAAAATATTCCTGTTAATTAAATCTTTATAAATCCACTTAGAATACTTAAATTTTAAAGGATTTCATTAAATTTCAATTGGGGACACCTAAATTTTAATGGATTTCATTAAAATCTCAATTGAGGACATTTAAATTTAGAAAGATTTTTAAAAAACATCACAACACTCCCCGCACCCCACCCCACCCCACCCCCGTAGTATATTCGTACAAGATAACTCTTTCTATTGATGTACATATAGGGCAAGGAAGTGAATCTGTTCCAGCCTGCTAGTGAGTTTTTACCAATGATCAACGAGGTTTGTGGGCAGTGGGATTATGTGCCGTTTAGAAACCTTGTTGCAAAGAATATCTGTTGTACTATCGAATTATTTTGTTTTTCCAGGTTTTTAGAACCCTTGTTGAGATTACTAAAAATATAAAGGGTGCCAAAGTAGAGAATCATAAATTCTGCGTCTCTGTGCACTATCGTAACGTCGATGAAAATGTAAGTATTGATTATCCTCTTTCATCCAGTGTCATTGAATACCTTGAAATGCTATCATCTTTTTTGGCTAATAATATAATGATTTTCTTTTGCATTGTAACTCCCAGAGTTGGCCTATAGTTGCACAGCTTGTTTATGATGTCTTAAAAGAGTACCCTCGACTCCGAATAACTCACGGACGAAAGGTGATATACTCCACTGCCTTTGTGTACCATGATTAGTTTGCCTTCTCATTTGTGTTGAATATGATGTTCCCACATAATGTCTCTGTTTTTCCTCTGTAGGTTTTAGAGGTTCGTCCCGTGATCGACTGGGATAAAGGAAAAGCAGTTGAATTTCTGCTTGAATCCCTAGGTTAGTACTTGATATATGTAAACACAAATCTTACAAGTGAATGCTTACACAACCTAATACTGCAGGATTTAGTACCAATCAAGATGTGCTCCCAATATACATTGGAGATGACAGAACTGATGAAGATGCATTCAAGGTATTTCGTCTGTGATATCTCGTTATCGTTAAGCTTAACATTCACGCATTGTATTTCCGTTTTATACGGTGTGTACCCATTTTTCAGGTATTGCAGTCGGGAAATCGAGGTTATGGAATTCTTGTATCTGCTGTCCCGAAAGAAACCAATGCTTTCTTCTCTCTGCGGGATCCTTCTGAGGTGAAACTTGAATCCAATCATGTTTATTTTTACTTTGTTTTGATTTTGAATTTTTTGTCGATACTCAAACCTTCTTAACCAAATGCATAACTATGTCCAGGTCAAGGAATTCCTCGAGTCTCTGGTGAGAATGAAACAATAGCTGCAGATTTAGTGAATGATCTTAGAACGGCTGAGTGACGTGTTCATAGTAATTACTAATTGGTACACATTTTATCTTGGACTAGATGTCACATGAATAAGCCTCTGAATTTATTAGTTCTTTTATTTTTATTACTGAGAATTTTCTTTAGCATTTTATGAAGCTTTGGTTCTGTTGTTCTTTCCCTCCATTTTCTTGATGGAAGAAGCTTTGGTTCTGTTGTTCTTTTGTTCCTTAATCATACACAACATTGGAAAATCATATTATCTCATAATTGTCTTCTCCACATGCTTAATTTAATTATGATTATATCCGTGTTTGGTTTGTATTAAAATTAAATTATAATTTCAAGTTAAGTCAATAATTAATTTTATTCATACATTTTATAGGATTCGCAAATTTTTAACCCCAAATTTCATCAACTTTTATAAAAAATTATTAAGAATTTGATTTTAATTTATACCGAATGAGGACTATATTTGGTGACGTGATCTTTATTGAAACAACATAACAAACAATTTATGGTTTACATATAAATCTAATAACGCTGTTCAGAGAGGTGGCTTTTTTATATAAAATATATTACTCCATTCGTCCCAATTATATAGGTCGAGTTTTTTTTCTTTCTTGTCCCAAATATATAAGCATGTTTCCTAATGTAGAATATTTTGTTGTGTTCCTTTACCAATATAATCTTACTAAATTTTTCTCACTTAATATGCCAACTTCTTGATTTGAGAATTGATTCTCAAATCAATTCTCATTTTCAACCACACATTCTTCAATAAAATAATATTTTCCATCACATCAATAATTTTTTCTTCTTTTTCAACCACACATTTCCCATCATATCACTATTCAAAAATCACTTCTTCNTGATTTTCAACCACACATTTTTCAATAAAATAATATTTTCCATCACATCAATACTTTTTTCTTCTTTTTCAACCACACATTTCCCATCATATCACTATTCAAAAATTAATTATTCCTCCAAAAATCCCTACCAAACAAGCACTAAAGAAGCTTTCTTAATCCATGTAAAAAACGAAACAAGTCTATGTAATTGGGACGAATGTAATATATTAGAGCGTGAAAACTAAGACATTGTAGTATATAGTTTGACTGAAACTCGAGTGTGAAATGAGTTTTATTTTCTTGTAACCTTGCAACATTTGTAATGTTAAATCTATAATGCAATTCGTGTACTGAATGTCTAATGTAAAACGGAAACTTAGCAATAAAAAATGGAGCGCACAAGAAACTTGATTGCAATAATATTCCGAGACTTAACAATTCACAAATTTAGAAGTTCTACGTGCCTCTAGGCGGTGTTGCTCAAGCATGCTTTAATTTCTAACCAACTTAGAAGTGTATGTTTATGTCTTTCACCGTTGATGTTTGAGGAGTATCCCATAATTCTAAATTTAATTGGATTTTCTGGATTTTGATTTTGGTTTAATTGGGTATGCTTGAAGGTGGAGAAGAGGATGAAGAGGATTGTGATAGGGTGAGATTTTAAAGGTTTGGGATTGTATAAAGTGGTTGTGGATTCTGTAGGCTAATTATAATTATCAGTTTTTCATTTAGAAATTATTTTTGGGTGCAGGTAAAATAGTTATGAATTTGTTTTGTAAAGTCATATTCGGCTATAGAAGCTTTAATTTGTCAATGGATTTATTATGTTTCACGAAGTGCTGTGATACGTTATTGAATACATTTTTTTATTTTTCTAAACCCACTTGTGATAATGAGAAATTTGATGGCACGAAAATAAATTATGGAAGATGTGAATCATGATTTGGTGCTGGAATGTGATAACGAAAACATTGTAGAGAATTTGAACATATTGGATAATGATAATGTAGGAGGAGATGTTGTGACTATACCTCAAGTGGATATGATGTTTGATGATGAGAACGAAATGTTTGACTTCTACAAAAAAATGTGCTTATGCCATAAGCTTTCCAGTGAGGAAAAGGAATTCGAAAAAAGGGGACGATGGAGTTATGAGGTACGTGACGTTCACATGGGGTCGTGAAAGTCGAAGAACGTATGCTACATACGGCTCCTTAAAACCGCAACCAACAATTCAGACAAGTGTAAAGCAAAAATATCTGCATCTTTAGATAGTTTTGGAAGATGGAGAATTAATAAAGTGTACCTCGACCATAATCATAAAACAAGTCCTTCCAAGTCTTGGTTGTATCGATGCAATCGGAAATTGAGTGCAAGTGTGAAACAAAAGCTTGTAGTGAATGATATGACAGAAATCCCCTTGTACAAAAGTTACAACTCCGCAGTTGTGGAAGTAGGTGGATATGAGAATACAACTTTTGTGGAAGAGGATTGTCGGAACTATATTGAACAAGTGAGACGATTACGCCTTGGACAAGGAAAATGCCATCACAATACAGGCGTACTTTTCAAAGATGCAAACACGGAGCTCAGGATTTTACTTTAGTATGGACTTAGACGATGAGTCACGATTAAGGAATTTTTTTTTTTGGTAGATAACATATGTATGGAATCTTACAAGGAATTAGGTGATGTTGTCACTTTTGATACTACATATCTCACTAATGAGTACGATACCCTTTGCCCCTTTTGTTGGCGTGAATCATCATGGCCAATCTATATTGCTTAGCTGTGGATTTTTATTGAATGAGGACACGGATACTTGTGTGGTTGTTCAGGACATGGCTTGAGTGCATGCATGGTCAAACTCCTAATGGAATAATTACTGATCAAGATCGGGCAATGCAAAATGCAATTGAGATTGCGTTTCCAAACACGAAGCGTGGATGCTGTTTGTGGCACATTTTGAAAAAAATGCCAGAAAATTTTGGATAACCACGTTCATAAAAGCTCGACATTTTCTGCTATACATTGAAATATCCACAATCATTACTACATGTGAAGAACAATTGCCCTTTGTTACCGGTATCTCATTCGACCTCAAAGCATTTTCGATATATGTGGCCACAACTAGGGCATCGGCGTTTTGATTGGCATTGTCCAAAGTAGTGCATATTGCTTCTGTAACTGTGGCAGACTCCAACATTTCTTCCTCTCATTTTAGTCGATATTTGTTGAAGAAACAACGTGAATCGATCTTAATCAACAAAATCGTAAATTTGAAATTGAATATCAAAATTAGAATGAAATTTTTTATTAATAAACAACAAACAGAGAATAAGAATTGAAATCACTCCTACTGTGGGATTTCACAAATCTAAATGCCAATAAATGCACCTCAAGATTGGACATAAAAATCATAGAGTTTCCCTATAAATAACTTATATAATTCACCCGCTCTAAGCTGAATTTCTACGAGAGCTATAAAAATTCAAGTATCAGACCTGAATGAGCTATCTTTTGGTTGAACAAATCATTGACTTCGGCTTACAGTGTTCTTGTTTATTATAGAATTCATCGTTCATCAAAATTACTCAACAGATTTTAGGGACAGCATCCAACTTTTTTCTTTGTCGCTCTAATGACGACCGTAAACAATCAGATTCAAGCAAATCTTTAGAAATTCTCAGACCCATAATTGGAATTACAATTCAGATCAAAATTCCCACAAACCTTAGAATAGTTAGCACCAATAAAAAAGGAAAAATTCTAATTGGATTGGAACAATCATGGAAAATGGCAAAAGGAAAAAAAATATTGCTTCTCATGTAAGTTGTGAATAAAAAAGAATCTTCAACTGAAAACACGTAGATTCACAGAAATAACTCAAAAAACCAAGCAAATCGTCAAATTAAATGTCGCCGTAAGAATGGAAGGAACAAAGAATCCCATAAAAATCTCGATATTCTCGATTTATACATGGATCTGATGAAAAACTGATTCATAAAAAAATTAATTTAACAATAACATTTAAATCGTCATAACAAGAATAAATAGAATTCACATGAAATGCAATCATATATTTTTAAAAAATGGTTGGCTATTCTTCATATTTGAAGATGGGAGAGAGAGAAAATAATATTTTACGCAGGAGTGGTCGGAGGTGCTCGCCGGTCGATTAGCCGGAGATGGAGGAATGGGCCGGATATGGAGAAAGCTGAGAGGCGGGAGAACTAATACGAGTTAATCTATGGGTCCAGGGAACTTTTTGGTATAGAAAGTGTTCATCTAATTGAATATTTCTTCTAGTCCGATCTAAATCCAGAACTCAACTCCTTCTCTGTTATTTGTTTATTTCATACGCTAGAGTTATGATTTTTTGTTATATAAATTTTTTTTCACTTATTTGTCATTCGTACCTATACACTTAAGACATCGCCAGAGTAAAAGATCACTATTCCAAGAAAAAAAGGTTGACGAGCATTTGCACTGCAACAATTATGGGTGTTAAGGGAGTGACTTGGCTTGGCTTGTCGGATGAGCTGACTCGCACTTGCCTCTGGTGCAAGCCA